AGGAGAACTCTGGCTGCACTTCTTCCAAAGTGGATCTATTGGTTCTTTTCAGAATACTGAAAGCCCATCGCACTTTCAGTATTCTCCTCCAACACCATAACTTAAAAGCATCAGTTCTTTTACAGTCTTCCTTATTCACTGTCCAGCTTTCACATGCATATGAGGTTACTGAAAATACCATGGCTTGGGTCAGGCACACTGTAGTCCTCAAGCTGACATCTTTGCTCTTCAACACTTTAAAAAAGTCTTGTGCAGCAGATTTACCTAATGCAATACGTTGTTTGATTTCTTGAATGCTGCTTCTGTGAGTGTTGATAGTTAATCCAAGAAAAATGAAGTCCTTGACAACTTCAATCTTTTCTCCATTGATAAGAATGTTGTTTATTGGTCCAGTAGTGACTATTTTTGTTTCCTTTACATTGAGGTGTAATCCATACTAAATGCTGTGCTCTTTGATCTTCATGAGTAAATGTTTTAAGTCCTCTTCATTTTCAGCAAGCAAGGTTGTATTATCTGCATATCACAGGTTGTTAATGAGTATTCCTCCAATCATGATGCCACGTTTTTCTTCATAGAACCCAGCTTCTCAGATTATTTGCTCAACATACAGGTTGGATAAGTATGGAGAAAGAATACAACTTTGTCACACACCTTTTTTAATTTTAAAACATTCAGTGTTCCCATATTCTGTTCGAACAATTGCCTCTTGGTCCAGGTACAGATTCCTCATGAGCACAATTAAGTGTTCTGGAATACTCATACTTCACAATGTTGTCCATAGCTTGTCATGATCCATACAATCGAAAGCCATTGTGTAGTAAATAAAGCACAGGTAAACATCTTTCTGTTAGTCTCTGCTTTCAGCCAAGATCCATCAGATATCAGCAATAATATCCCTCATTCCATGGCCTCTTCTAAATCTGGCTTGAACCTCTGGAAGTTCTCTGTCAATGTATGATTGTAGCTGTTTCTGTATTACCTTTAGTAAAACTTTACTCGAATGGGATATCAAAGAGATTGTCCAATGATTTCTGCATTCCGCTGGGTCACCTCTCTTTGGAATGGGGATAAACATGGATCTCTTCGATTCAGTCAGATAGTTGTCTTCCAAATTTCTTGGTAGAGATGAGTGAGTGCCTCCTATGCTGCCTCACTTTCTTGAAAGATTTCAATTTTTATTCTATCAATTCTTGGTGCATTGTTCTTTGCCAATTCCTTCAATGTACCTTGGATTTCCTTCTTCAGTATCATTGGCTCTTGATCATATGCTACCTCATAAAATGGTTGAACAGCGACCATTTCCTTTTGGTGCAGTGACTCTGTGTATTCCTTCCATCTTCTCTTGATGCTTTTAGCATCACTCAATACTTTGCCCTGTGAATCTTTCAGTAATGAAAGTCGAGGCTTGAATTTTTTCTTCAGATCTTTGCACATTTTGTTGTAATGTTTGGCTCTACTCTCCAGTGTAGAGATGCTAAAGCAAATGGAAGAAATGAGGAGGTCCAAGAGCTGAACAGAAAATTTCAGAGATCAGCTCGAGAAGATAAAGCCAAACATTACAACAAAATGTGCAAAGATCTGGAATCAGAAAACCAAAAAGGAAGAACATACTCAGCATTTCTCAAGCCGGAGTAACTGAAGAAAAAATTGAAGGTTGTATCATCGACATAACGCAGGTTGTTAATGAGTCTTCCTCCAATCTTGACGCCACGTTTTTCTTCATAGAACCCAGCTTCTCGTATTATTTGCTCAGCACACAGGTTGAATAAGTATGGTGAAAGAACACAACCTTGTTGCACACCTTTCCCAATTTTAAAACATTCAGGCCAAGGGCTGTGACTACTGGCAACCCAGACCATCACGAACTACACCAACCCCCTAGGAAGGTGTAGAGAAGGGGGGCCCTACCAAGAACAGACAGTGATTAGAAAGAAGAGGATAAGAATTGAAGAGGCTCCAAATCAGCTAGTCCAATGGACTAATGGAACATGTGAACATCAGTCTCCACAACTCCGAGACCAGAAAAACTAGATGGTGCCTGTCTACCACTTCTAACTGCTCTGAAAGAGGGTCCTGGATGGAGAGCGTAAAAAAATGTGGAGGGTCCTGGATAAAGTGGCAAAAAATGTGGAACAAAATTCGAAATCATGTTTTAAAAAAGACCAAGTTTACTGGTCAAAAAAAGGCTAGAGGAACCTAAGACTATTGCCCTTGACCACCCTTCAGGTCTAGAAAGGAACTTGCCCCTATGGCCCAATTTTCAGCCAAACAGTAGATGGCTATATATGGAGAAAAATAACACTAGCCAAGGATTGCTTGGGTGGAGTGGCAGCGAGATCTTGGAGCGGCAGCGAGATCTTGGAGCAGCAAGATTTTTGGAGTCCTGGTATGGTGCTGTGGGTTAATGCACCAGACTCCAAAGCTGTTTAACTGCAAGGAGCGGAAAGCCTCATCTCTCTCACGCGAAGGGCCTGGTGGATTCGAGCTGCTGACCGCGGGGTTCGCAGCCAGATTTTTTACCACTACACTACCAGGCCTTCCACCTTCAAGATGGCGGATCGGGTTCAACTCATAAAGACACTGTATAGGAGTTTCAAGGAATGGCTTGTGTGTTTGAACCATGGACCTTGTTTCCAGTACTTACCCTACAGCGTCACACTAGGGTGGTGGTGATGGTTATTTCTTGTGGAATTGGTTCTGACTCATAGTGACTCTGTAGAGGGTTTTTGAGACTGTAAATCTTTACGGGTGCAGAGAGCCTCATCATTCTCCTGCAGAGTGGTTGGTAGATTCAAATGCTGACCTTGTGCTTAGCAGCCCACCTCATTACTCACTACGCTACCAGAGCTCCTTTCACAACAGCATAGGACTTAATAATCACCCTCATATAATTCTGGAGCAGATGGTTTCCAGACCAATATAGAAATGTAATAGAATCAATCAGTACTTGTTCCTAACCTGTTGCCATCAAATCAATTCCAACTAATGGTAACCACACGTTTCAAAGTAGAACTGCTCTCTAAGGTTGTTAATGGCTGTAATACTACAGATACCAATTACCAGGACTTTCTTCCATGGCATCACTGGACAGATTCAAACAGCCAACATTTCAGTTAGTAGCTGAGAGCCACCCAGGGACCTTACCTGTCCTCAAGGAGTTTATAAATGAATAGTGGGAAAAAGAGAAATGCAAATTGTCAAGGAATAACTTTTCATGGTATCTAGGGTTTACCAACAATAGGTTACATTATTGAAGTAATTGGTAAGGTTTCAAGTAAAACAAAAAACTAGGGAACATGTTTTGCTCTGACAAGGGAAAATAATATGAAATGCATCATGATGCAGGAAACAAGATTTACAAATTTCATTTAGAATTTTAACTTATTTATTTTTAAGTAGTCAAATAAAGACAGCAAATGTCACACATCAAAGTTCTGACTAAAAATTATATGTCATCTGAAAGCTATAATTAAAAAAATTATTGACTAACATGAAAAAGAAGAGTAGGTATTAAATCACATTAAAACATAATAACATATACACACACATATAGATATATATGCATACACACATCAATGCATGCATAATCATACATTTCCAAAGATCTTAAAGCATGTTACTAACTTCCCAATTTACTGACTCCGTCTGGCAGTCCTATGGAAAAGATCACACAGGCAGATATGAGACTATAAATAAGTTGTTACTGATTCTGGTCTTGGAACTCCCAGGTATGAATGTAGAGAATCTTTAAAATTATTTTGCTATGGACAGGGGCAGAGAGGTAGCCAAAACTTGTGTATAAAGACTTTCATTTTGAGTTACATTTCTATGTAACTGAATTAAGTATAGAATTCCCTATGAGATTTTATGCTCTGACCACTGTTTTTAAAGGTGAAATGTGTCTGAGTTTTTGCACGGGTTCTTAAAAGATATATGAGGGAGAAGACTTCCTACTCTCATCCAAAGTAACAGCCAGCCACCATAAACATATATTGAACACCTACTTCTCCCTCCCTCAAGGAGCTCACATTTTAGATGGGGAGGGAGGGCAAGCACAGAAAAATGTAAAGGACCAGTTCAAGAGACCACTGCTCAATGAGAGAAAGAAAAGTGAGAGTCAAGCAGGTAGATAAGACTCTCTGAAGAAGGGGTAGGAGACAAGAGCTTCTTGTTTGCTTGTTCATTCATTCATCAAATTTATTCAACAATATTTATTTAGCGCCTATGTATGAGGACTCCTGGTGTGGTGCTGAAGAATAAGCACTGGACTGCTAATCACAAGGTTGGTAGTTCAAACCCACCAGCCTCTCCCTGGAAACCCTACACAGGGTTGCTATGAGTTGGAACCAACTTGATGGCACTTAACAACAACAATGTGCCAAACTGCTATGGTAGGTATCATTTTAATGGTAAATGAAATGAAAATTATTCCTGTCCTATTATAATTTAGAATCCAGAAAAGTAAATCATATACTTTAAAACAATGTAATATATGTTATAATAGTAATAAGCCCAGAAGAAAGGCACTTTATCCAGACTGGGGGAGATGATGTGAGTTAGGAAAGGCTTTCTAGAGAAAAATAAAAAGATTAATATTGATTAATCCCCAACCCATCCAAAAAAGGCACTAACCAGGAGCTTTGGTCAGCAATTCAAACCACCTTGGAAACCCTATACATGGTCACTATGAGTCAGAACTGACTCCGTAACAATAAGAACAACCAGGCAAAAAATAGTACAAAAATGTTCTAAGCAGAAGGAATAGCACCTTGTGAAGGACCTATGGCTAATGAGTACATAGTATTCATGTGGTGTGGGGTAGGCAGGAGAAGAGTGAACAAAGGAGCAGAGGGAGGAAGAGACAGGGTGTGTACCAGGGACAATGAAAACAGTTTGGTTAGAGTGCTAGAAGATAGACCTGGCAGGCTAGAATACAAAAGAGTCTATATGTCCTATCCCAGTAGCAGTCACTGAAACTTATTGAGCCAAGAGAGGGCAGCATGGGTAAAATGATATGTTAGGAAGATGAGTTATAAGCAGGATGGCAGTAGGATTTTCAAGGGAGGGTTTCCAGTCAAGGTTTATCTAAATGTTTAAGAAATTATTTGTTCTAACTATATTTTCTTACTCAGTAGCTGCTTCTCTCTTCTTCTACTCATAGTGATTCCCAGCAGAATGGACAAATATATGAAATCTGAACAAACTACATTGCTGTTAGACAACTACAACATTTCCATCTATGACCTGAATGGAAACTCGCAGGGCCAGGATTTATGGCCAAACTACTATTCACAGGCTCATGGGATTGTTTTTGTACTTGACTCCAGTGACTTAGGACGCTTGCAGGAAGTGAAGATGATTTTACCACGTCTGCTGTCTGATCAAAGAGTGGAAGGGAAACCCGTTTTACTGTAAGACTCTACCTTTGTGTCTAACTTCCCCTTCTCATTTTGTGCCTTAACATACACATATAGGAGCAAGGGTAGGATGGTCCCTTTGTCAAGGCCAGCTATTCCTCCTTTTTCCTTATTAGGCTCAGTGAGGTAGAGTGGTCCAGTCCACCGAAGGCTGTTTTCAGGGTCCACTTTCTACCACACACTGCTATGGAGGACATGTTACCTACTTGTGTTACTGTTAGCTATTAGATACTTTGAGTTGATTCTGACTTTTGATAACACCCTGGTTTGCTCCATAAGGTTTTTAACAGCTGTTTTTTGTTTGTTTGTTTTGTTTTAGAAATAGATTGCCAGGTTTTTCTTCTGTGGGTTTAAGCAAAAAACAAACAAACCCATTGCCATTGAGTTAATTCCAACTCATAGCGACCCTATATAGGGTTTCCGAGACTAGAAATTAGAAACTGTCTTTACAGTAGCAGACAGCTTTATTTTGAAATCTTGTGTTGCATCTGGTAGGCTTGAACTGCTGATCTTAAAGTTAGCCGCCCAATGTCTAACCCATAGTGACACCAGGGCTCCTTTAGGTTAGCAGTTGAATACAAATAATTAGTGCCACCAGTGGACTTATCTGGTGTGACACTGTAGGATTACCATTGGACGGTTAACCTCAAGGTCCATAGTTCAAACCCACCAGCTGCTCCTTGGAAACCCTTAACAGGGTTGCAGAACTGTCTTGATGGCACTTAACAACAACAACAACCATATAAAGGCAATTTTGAAGGCAAGTATCAAAGGGAAATTAAGTAATATCTGTATCTACCACCCCTCATCCCTAGACTCTTTCTGAAGACTGCCTTCAGAAATTTGCTTGTCATCTTGATTGGTTTCAATCTCTAATCCAGAGTTCTCACAGTGGCAGAGAACTACCCCTACTTTGAATGATATATGCCAATACACCCTATAGATCGCTCAAAAGTTGAATAACATTTATTCTAGGGTAATAATTCAAGTCATCAGTCAGTCTTCACTACTCCCTCACATCCTTTTTTCCCTTTTCATTCCTTATTAGTACCCCCATTAGAGAATGAACAGAATTCAAGAGAGGATGTAAAAACTCCAAATGTGCATGTATTCCAGTTTGTGATTCTAATTAAAGTTTGATGTAAAGTAGGGGAAGTAATCAATAAGATCTGTGAATTATCTTGCGTTCAAATTATTTGTTTTATTTGTTCCTTTCATTAAGAGTTTGCTAGATTTTGTGAAGAGATGAAGACGAGAGGTTGCAGCCTCGTTGCAGACCTCCATCAGCTTCTTCACGTAGAACCTGGGAGAAGGAGATTCATAAACAAATCTCTTTTCCCTTCCCCCTCCTGGTTACAATTGATTTGAAATATATGTTAGTGGAACTTTGCTTGAGTGAGATTTTTTTTGATCTTCAGCTACGTTTTTCAGTTGTGTGATGAACCTTGTCAAACCCCATGGCCAGCAATGTTACCAACAAGACAGATCCTCCTCACTCTATGAACTCCTTTGTATTTATTGGAAATCTCAATATTCGGGTAGTCAAGAAGTCTGATGTGGAGGCAATTTTCTTGAAGTATGGCAAAATTGTGAGTTGCTCTGTTCATAAGGGCTTTGCCTTTGTTCAGTATGTTAATGAGAGAAATGCTGGGGCTGCTGTAGCAGGAGAGGATGGCAGAATGATAGCTGGCCAGATTTTAGATATTAATCTGGCTGCAGAGCCAAAAGTGAACAGAGGAAAAGCAGGTGTGAAACAATCTGCAGCGGAGATGTATGGGTCAGTACCAGAAACACACTTCTTCATCCCCTCTACTCAGCTCTTCTTTTGACTTGGACTATGATTCCCAGCGGGATTATTATGACAAGATGTACAGGTATCCAGCACGTGTTCCTCCTCCTCCTATTGCTCCGGCTGTTTGTTGTTTTTATGTGTCGTGGAGTCGGTTCCTACTCATAGCAACCCTGTACAGGGTTTCCGAGGCTGTAAATCTTTACGGGAGCAGAAAGCCTCATCTTTCTCCCACAGAACAGCTGATAGTTTCGAACTGCTGACCTTGTGGTTCACAGCCCAATTTGTAACCACGATGCTACCAGAATTCCTTTGCTCGGGCTGTAGTGCCATCAAAACGCCAGTGTGTATTAAGAAACACCTCACGAAGGGGCAAAAGTGGCTTCAATTCTAAAAGTGGACAGAGGATATCTTCTTCCAAGTCTGGAAAATTGAAAGGAGATGACCTTCAGACCATTAAGAAGGAGTTGACCCAGATAAAACAAAAAAATGGATTCTCTACTGGAAAGCCTGGAAAAAAATTGAAAAGGAGCAAAGCAAACAAGGAATAGAGATGAAGAATGATGAATCAGAAGAGGAGAAGAGTAGTAGCTCCCTGAAGAAAGATGAGACTAATGTGAAGATGGAGTCTGAGGGGGGTGCAGATGACTCTGCTGAGGAGGGGGACCTACTGGATGATGATGATGATGAAGATCGGGAAGATGACCAGGTGGAGTTGATCAAGGATGATGAAAAAGAGGCTGAGGAAGGAGAGGATGACAGAGACAGCGCCAATGGCGAGGATGACTCTTAAGCACACAGTGGGGCTTAGAAATGTTATCCCATTATTTCTTTACCTAGGCGCTTGTCTAAGATCATACTTTTCACCAGATCCTCTCCCCTAGTATCTTCAGCCGCATTGCTCACTGTTCTCCCCATCTTTGTCCTTCCCACATTCAGTCATTCATATTGCCCTGTGCCTGGTCCCATTTTCACTTCCTTTGATGCTCCTAATAGTTATGTTAAGTCTTACCCTGTAATTTTTGCTTTTAATTTTGATACCTCTTTGACTTAACAATAAAAAGGATGTATGGTTTTTGTCATCTGTCTCCAAATAATCTCTTGTTATGCAGTGAGTACAGTTATTTCCATTCATATATGAGTTCAGTAGTTGCTTCCTTAATTGCACAGACAATCTCATTTCGTTGGGTAGCACTTGAAAACAGCTTTGAGTTAAAAGTATGTGTGTTATACCCCACATAAGTACTGTATGGGACTGTTCAACACAAATGTAACAATGTATTTTTTGTGTGTGAATGAGAGTTGGCATGTCAAATGCATCCTTTAGAAAAATAGTGTAATAGTCTTTTTAGATTTGTTTTCTAAAGTTGATACTGTGGGTTATTTTTATGAACAGCCTGATGTTTGGGACCCTTTTTTTCTCAAAATAAACAAGTCCTTATTAAACCAGGCATTTAGAGAAAAAACAAAAAGAGTTTGTTAGAAAAATTCCTGATTTGTCTCACTGAATATATAGCAGTTATTTTCTCTCCTTGATCTTTGTCTCTATTTCTGTTTCACTCTTCTTTCTTCTTCCTTCCCTCTCTCCTATGCCCTGTTCTAGCCTGGCAAACAAGACAAGAAGGGTGCTCTGCTGCCTTGTGATATATTGGAAAGAATAGTGAATAAAAATAAGCCCCTATGCCGAGTGGTGAGTATCAGCCCTTTCCTTCCCTCTCCCTCTAGAGCCCAGATGATGTGTTCCTTGGCCTATTCCATAATCAGTCCCATATGTTGGGTTTGGGGCAAAGCCTCACCCCACCATACAACTTCTACAGTAATGATTTCTGACCCAATAGTGATAACAAATATCATGTTCTTAGAAAATATTCACATCTATTTTCTCATTGTTGTTATTAAGTGCCATCAAGTTGGTTCTAACTCATAGTGACCCTGTATAGGGTTTCTGAGGAGTGGCTGGTGAATTTGAACTGCCGACCTTGGCAGTTCAAACCAACCTTTTGGTCCAGTGCACTATCTCACAGTACCACACCAGGACGTCTTCAAAATAGCTCTACAAAATTGCAAGTTTTAATCTCTCCATTTTATAGATAAGGAAAATAAGGCTTAGTGAGTGAGTCTAAGTCCAAGGTCACACATCCAGGACATGACACTTTACTAAAGGACCTTACCTTCTATATCTTTCATTTACATTCTAAGAAGCCCGCACGGAGTGTCTACTAAGAGGTCCTAGAGCCACTGTTAGCACGGGAGAGCTTATGTAAACCTCAGCTCTTTGGAGAAGTTTTAGGACTCCATGGGTCCCACTCTCCAGGGTTAGAGTCTTCTCTTGAAATCTTCTTTTCTCTTCTCTTTTTGTCACAGGAGCCTTGTTCAGCCATCATAAACCTCCAAAGAAGAAACCATCAGCCCATAATTGATGGGCTGCGCTGGTTATTAGCTACTATTGGGGATAAATATGAAGATCTATATACTCAACAACAGCAGTGTGGAGTGGGACTATCACCTACCTCAAGAAAGCCAACCTCCAAGGGTACAAAAAGCTCTAGAGAAAGATGCTCATCCAGCAGGAGCTGTACTATAGGGTTTATTGATAAGAGTAGATACAATAGTCAATCTTCAACATAAGCAGGGAGTTCTTGGAGGTTCTTGGATTCCATGCAGCACCAAACCAGTCTCTCAGAATCAGGTGACCCAAATGGATCTAGGGAAGTAGCCAATATTGTTTGGTGCACCCCACACACAAACACAACTTGAGCAGTCATGTTAATGGGATGAGTTGTATAAAGGTAACAACAACCTGTCAGTAGTAGAGCTTCTCCACAACATTGCTTCTGTTTGTCATATGGAGGAAAAAAGGCATATGAGCCCATTAAATAGCCTGCTGGCATTAATCTATGCATGAATGTCATGGAACTACCCTATGTTCTCAGCCTCTAGGTTCGCCTAGAAAACCTAGGTTCATCTCCTAGACAAATCTCTAGGTTCGTCCCAATAAAAAGGAATGATCGGGAAGGATAGGGATGTTAAAAAGAATAAAAGAAGGGGGAAAAAAAGAATATAGGAGGTACTTGAGATTTAAGGAGTAACAGGTATAAATTTCTTGTTCTGTTGTTAAGCAAAGGCATATGGTCCCACCATTGCTGCTGAGTCAGTTATACCTTATAGGGCACGGTAAAACTACTCCTTGGAGTTTCTGAGGTTTTAAATCTTTACAGAAGAAGGCAGCCTCATCCTTCCCCCACAGAATGGCTGGTGGGTTTGAACCACCAGCTTTGCAGTTAGCAACCCAACGCTCAAACCACTGTACCACCAGGACTCCTTGTTGTTGTTGTTTCTAAGTGCTGCTGTCAAATTGGTTCTGATCCATAGTGACCCTGTATAGGGTTTCCAAGGAGCAGCTAGTGAGCTTGAACTGCCGACCTTGCAGTTCAAACTGACTGCAGTCCAGTACATTAACCCACAGCACCACACCAGGACTCCTAGGGTTCCTTAGGCAAATGCATTTGTGTCTGTTTCTATTACTGCTTTGTCCTTTCTTCCTTTCCCGGCTTCTATACCAGGATGAGAATGACCAAAGGAAAAAAAAACTGGATTTAGGATACCATTCAGTGGAAGTTAAGCCCCTAAAGTCAATCCTACAGGTAAACAGCTCTTTGAATGCTATTGCCTCGAAGACCAATCCCCGGACTCTTAGGCACCAATTGACTTTCTTTCCCTATGTTCTTACTGTACAGAAAGAAGGTTTGAGATTAAGGCAAAAAAAAAGAATAAATCAGTAACATTTGCTTTAGATGAACTGATGGAGGAAGGTGAATGTCCTAGGGGAAATGAAGATCAGAGAGCTACTGAGTTCTGCTACAAGAAAAGTGATAAATTACAGATTCAAGCTACATGTATTGATGATGATCCTTTTGAAGGTAATACTGAACCCATGGTTAGTCAGAGAAGAAAAGACATATAGGCCTTCCCTCACAATCTAAAATAGTATTCCTATTTTGATCTGAAACTCTTAGAGTATGGTTGGTGGTTAGGAGTAAAGAAGTGGAAGTACAGGGAGCATGCTTGGGGATTGCCTTCTGGTAGCCAAGTATGACTCCAAGTATTGGGTGAAACACAAGGTCTTCATTTTCAATGGCTATATGGTTATTTTAAAGGTTCTGATTTCCATTTGGTGAGAGTACAAATAGGTATGGCTTTAAGAAGGGCAGTCTGGCTGGCTCACTCTCACTTGCACAATATCATGCTCAATCTCTTCCTCCCTTTCCCTGTCCCTATAGGCAAGAGGGCTTCAAAAAATTTATGAGTAAATGGAATGAAAAGATAATGGAATTTTTCCGCCAATTTTTTGAAACCATACACACGCATATACACACATACACACATATACAAACACACAAAGGGGCTTCCAAGAGTTTTCCATGAACTTTTTAAAGTTTTCTTGAGTGTATGTGTGTGCATGTGCATGCACACACCCACATGCAAGGGTTTCAAAGTTCATGAACAAATGGAATGACAAGATAATGGCATTTTCTCACAAATTTCTTGAAGCCACACACACACACACATATAAGGAAGTTTCAAACGTTTGTGGAAAAGTTCCATTATCTTTCAGTTACATTCTTCCACAAACTGTCTGAAGCCCCCTCGTGTGTGTGTGTGTGTGTGTGTGTGTGTGTGTGTGTGAGGGGGCTTCCAAAATTTGTGGAAAAATGGAGTGGAATTGAAAGATAATGGATTTTTTCCATGAACTTTTTGATACCCCCCTCGTATGTGTGTATCAAAAAAATTTTAATGTGAATACTCTTTGAGCCAGCAGTCATATTTCTTTAATTGTATCCAAAGAAGATAATTGCACAAGTACAAAAAAATGCATGCTCAAGGCTGTTCAGTCACAGGAATTGTGTGCAACAGCTAAAAATTGGAATACTATGTAGAAAATAGAAAAGACTAAGAAGGAAAGTTACTCACAATCTGACATTTTTAAAAGAGGAAATAACAAGTTAGAGTGCAACATTTGTAGAATGATGTGAACAAATGCATAGAAATATCTGGAGGGATATTACCCAAATATTGTTGTTGCTGTTGTTAAGTGCCATCGAGTCAGTTCTGACCCATAGCGACCCTGTATAGGGTTTCCAAGGAACATCTGGTGAGCTTGAGCTGCCGACCTTGCAGTTCAAATGACTTGCAGTCTGATGCATTAACCGACAGCACCATACCAAATATTAGCAGTGGTTTTCTCTTGGGGTGAGATAGGTGGTTCTGAAAAATTAAAGCCTTTCTTTGGATTTTTCTATATTATTAGAAATTTTATTTTTTAGAATGAGCAAATATCATTTATTCCAATACAATAAAGGCATTAAAACTAAAAAATGAATAAATATAAATTGTGAGGTTTTCAAGACTTACTGTTATTAATAGCCATTCTTTCTCAGTGTTCTTTGGGCCCTTAGTCTCTAAGATTATAATATCACTTCAGCTCTGCAAGGGATCTACCACTTCTGAATTCCCTGGAGCCTTGGGTTGTTACAATGGTCTGGAGGGGCCTGGACTTGGCCAGGGACACTTAAGAAGGGAGGTAATTTGGTAGAAGAGTAGAGGAAGTTATTTCCCAGTATCAGCAACTACCCCTAAATCTTTGTCTAAAACTGAAATTCAATATCATTTCTATATCCTCAGAGCCCAGAGCCAAAAACAGAATGGATACATGGGACACAGAAGATATGTTACTGGACAGTGCCTCTGAAGAGACCTTAACTTCCTGTGGTTAGTACTCCTTAAATGAAGGGGAGAGGGGAGAGAACAAAATGAGAGAAAATATGAGGCTGGGACAAAGGGTGAGTACCTCATGGAGTGCAGTCTATACCCCCTTTGGGAATGGGCCAGTAAACATCCTTCTAACCTAAAGTGGTCTCAATAGGATAGGAAACCTGGTACTTGGCTTTGCTTGTAGTGACTGGCTATTTTCTTTCTCATTTCAGACTTTTAAGAGGCTACTACTAAAGAGGAAAATCCAAAGAAACATCTACTATCCGTCCCTTGACAAATGGGATCGTCTTTAGAGCCATAATGATAAACTCAGTTTTTCAATTTCTATTTGATAATACTTTTCCACTTCCCCTACAACTACATCTACTCAAATATTATGGCCCTGGGAACCTCCATTTTCCTGTACATCTATAATCTAGTCATCAAATTAATCCTAACCTACCAGAGGCTAAAAATGGCAGGAACATCAGGGAATGAGAATGAAGACAATCTTGGTGAAGAACAGAGAAACTTTACATCTTTGCACCCAGATAGTCTTGATAAAGCCTATTCATAAAACATCTTAGGTGACCAACTTAATTTTAGCCTTAGAAGTATAGGTTAGTTTAAAATTATACTTTTTTCTCTTAAGGTTCTTAGGAGTAAGGGGAGTTGTAAAAATAAATTACATTTTGCTAAAAATTGTGCTCTGCCTCCAAAAGCCTTCAGTCAGGCCTCCAAAAGCAATTCCATTTTAAATTCCTAGATACTGTCAGTGAAGCCCAGCAACAATTTCTTTGCTGTTCCTTCAGAAACAGAAACTGCTGCCTCGCCTAACTGGTTAGGTATGTAAAAGATGTAGAGCTTGGATGCATCCAGCCCCCCAGCCCAAGAGTGGTAGTGGTGGTGGTAGCACTAGTTATTTACTATTCCTCTCATTGGTTCTGGGTTAAGTACTTTATATCTTTGATTTTTATCTTCACAACACCAATGAAGAGGTTCTATTATCTCCATCCTACAGAGACAGAAACTGAGGTTCAGAGAGGCTAAATAACTTGTCCTAAGACACACACTAGAAAGTGGAAGAACTGGTTGTCAATCTAACGTCCAATTCCCTAACCCATGCTCTTAATCCTACCCTATACTGATTCACCAGCCTGCATAAACCAATGAAGTCACACCATTTATGAGCGCTAGAAACCTTGCACAGAAAGATGACTGCAATCACTTTGGGAGGGTCTGATACTAAGGTCACATCACTTGCTCTTGTGCACTGCATATGGCCTTAACTGTAAAGGAGTCACCTGAGGGACCCTATAGGTGTGCTTTTTCCAGGAAGCCTTAACAGGATTCTGACAGGCATTAGTCATGAAGGTGGACAGAAATTAAGGTTTCTAGTGCACTCGAGTTATATGGATTAAGAACTTGAGGTATTGAAAGGTTAAGTGATTTACCCAAGATTATACAGCTGTTTACTAGCACAGCTGGTCTCAGAATCCAGATTTTCTGTGTGCTCAAACCAGTGCTCTACCCTGTCCAAAAAGACCACATTTCTCCTAGGTCTTCTCTGGCAAATTTAGGCCCATCTACTTAAGCTGTTTGAACTGCAAGGTCAGCAGTTCAAGCTCACCAGCTGCTCCTTGGAAACCCTATACAGGGTCACTATGGGTCAGAATCGACTTGACAGCACTTAACAACAACAGCAACAACTTAGCGTAGTGGTTACGAATCAGGCTGCTAACCTCAGGGTCAGCAGTTCGAAACTACCAGCTGTTCCATGAGGGAAAAGGGAGGCTTTCTGCTCCCATAAAGATTTACAGCCTCGGAAACCCTGTATAGGGTCACTATGAGTCAGAACCGACTCCACCGCACACAACAACAACAACTTTCCTCCTGTTTGCCTAATAAGTAGCATTAGAGAATTCTGTTGTCAATCATTTCCACCCAGGGATGCAGCGAACATCTCTACTGAAATTTTCTCAAGCGGGAAACTAATTCAACATAGGAAAATTGGATCATCCATATTTCTCTTGATGGCATCTGTGTTTATGAGGCAGTACTTTTTCAGCAAAGTAGGAAGGGAATGCTACCTGGGAATGTAGACAGGGTAGAGAATTTAAGTTGAAACAATCTCTAACAAAACAGCTCTTGAGTATATTGGCATACTTCTCTTTGTTCAATGTAAAAAAGGGAGCTTCAAAAAGTTTGTGGAAAAATGAAATGAAAAGAAAGCTGCATTTTCCCATGAGTTTTTGAAGTCTCCACATATGCATTCCTGGTATCAGCCAAATTTTCATAAATAGAACTTATCAATCACACAAAGTTGCATAAAGAACACCTCTCAAATACAGCCAATATATATATTTTAAAGTTATCATTGAATCTATTCCAACTCATGATGCTCCATGTGTTACACAGTGAAACTAACTCATAGGATTTTCTTGTCCATAGTCTTTATGGGAGAAGAACTCCAGGCCTTTCTTCTGTGGTGTAACTGAATAAGTCTGAGCCACCAACCATTTGTTCCACCCACGACCTAAAATATAACTCAAAAACTGCACTATTGTCATGTGGATTCCAATGCATAGTGACCTTATAGAACAGAGTAAAATTGACATATATGGTTTCCAAGGCTGTAAATCTTGACAGAGGCAGACTGCCACCTCTTTCTCCTGTAGAATGGTGGGTTAGAGCTGCCAAACTTTTGGTTGCAGCCAAGCATTTTAAACACTGGCCTACCAGGGGTACTGAAATACAACCAGTATCATTTATAAAAGGGAAAAATTCTTTTCTGAGTGAATCTTATTTTTGTTGCTGCAGACTGCTAATGTACTCAAGTTGAGTGACCTGACAATCTCTCCCAGTGAAGACAGGTATGACAGTACCTACCTCACAGGCTTGTTGTAAGAATTAAAGGAGATAAATGAGGCAGAGGGAAATAGTGATGTATACTCTGGTAGCGTAGTGGTTACGAATCGGGCTGCGAACCTCAAGGTCAGCAGTTCGAAACTACCAGTCGCTCCGTGGGAGAAAGATGAGGCTTTCTACTCCCGTAAAGATTTACACCCTTGGAAACCCTGTACAGGGTCGCTATGGGTGGGAACCGACTCGATGGCACTTCACAACAACAACAACAACTCAACCTTGGAACAACAGGGCTCTGTGATACAGGGATTGAGGCATAGCCTGAATGGGTAAAAGAGGGGAAATAATGTTAAGGTGCTTGACTGTCATTGATTTCCCTTACCTACTATTATAAAAACAAACAATTAAGTGGGATAGAAAGGAATATCGGGAAATATGCTTACAGAAAGCTTGTAAGCCAGTCTTCTGCCTATAACTGATTGGAATACCTTAAAGGGGTTCTAGAACTTGCCCAGTTAAGTAGACTTCTTTAAAAGCCGTTGTAGCATATAGGACATTAGGTGGAATCCTGAGCCCCATCCAGAACCTTCTGAGGTGGGATATTCCCACCTGAAAGGACATGCAGATTAACCCAGAGCAGCTAGAGGAACAGAAGATACTTCTTTTTTTACAGAAAATTTTAGGGTTTATTAATCTTCTGGTGAAAAATCCACAATCATCTCAGATCAAGTCATAGCAGAATCTTTATTCCTTCAGATCAGAGCTCCAGAAATGCTCTTTCTGAACCCAAGCTTTCCAAATATATCTGACAGGTATCATGTCCTGCAAGTCTGTATTTGGGTTCATTTTTCTTTGCATAATCCAAGAAATCATAAATCATGCCGAAGCCAGTAGTCTTGCCACCACCAAAATGGGTTCTGAATCCAAACACAAAAATAACATCTGATGTAGTCTTATACATTTTAGCAAGTTTTTCTGTCTTAGGTACTGCTGCTGCCTTCCCAGGGTGAAGGGCATTAGTAAGCATTTATTTCCACTGAAGTAGTTGGTTGGTCATGAACTTCCTGGTCCAGATAGTTACTATGTCATTATGTGGGAATGATTTCACTGGCTACAACTCACCACCTTCTTCACCCCTCGGGCTACCATCACCAGTAAACCACCTATCCCAACTTGGGACTGCTGGGGGAAGAGGCCCTTCAGGACAAACCCCTTCCAAGACTGAAGCTCAAAGGGAACACATGAGCAGGGTTGTAAGCTCACTGGTGACTGTGCTGGTCTACTTGTGAGTGGAAGTGGGGTAAAGGCAGTAATGAAGACATGGGCCAAGTTTGACTATGTTCCATAGACTCCTGTCAACCTTGAGATGAGAAAAAGAAGAGGAAGGGCTGGTTGGTCTGAAGTTTGGGGTGACTTGGAAACTATGGAGGCCATGGATACTGACCTAACCACTGGGGACTAGAGCTGAGAGTGAAGTGTCCAGCTGATATGAACTGGGGAGAGGTGCGCAAGAATACCCAAACTTGCAGATAGTACCCATTTGACCTTGCTTGGATGGCTTGATGATCAGAACTCGACTAAAGGAAGACATTTGATACAGAAAGAAAATGTAAATTGCCACAAGTTGATGAACTTGACTTTTGCTTATGGATGTAGTTGCTCAAAATACCAACTGAGAGGGCAGGAATCTTCACATCAAATATCAAGCATATCCCCTCAGTACACAGGGTTGATAGGACAGACAACTTAAGCATTGGCTACCTAAAATGGGGAGGGGAGGGACTATAAAGGCACAGTGTGGCTGGCTTACATATTTTCAAGAGGGAATTTAGTTTCAGAGTGAGGGGTGGAAGGTAGAATCCCCACTGAGTAGTTTCATCTTGTCTAGACGGGTCTGGTTAAAGGAAATAGGGGTAGGATTCTTTACAATAATGAGTAATTGTTATCATGACTAATTGCGATTGTCACAACTGTAAAGGTAGAAGTTGTGTGGCAAAAAGTGGGGAGTAGTTAATCTTACATTCCAGGAATAGAGGACCATAGGACCATCAGGAGATAAGAGTATGAGTGGAACATAGGATCCTAACCAGAGAAGCAGTGACACCAGAGATGGAGGCAGAGGTGATGGCATGGAGAAATGGAGCAGCATAGGATTCTGGACTCATGGAAGGAGGGAGGCTGTGTGCTGGTGGCCAGGAGGCTGACTTCCAGAATGTGCCCT